CATCCGCATGAGGACAGAGTGAAGTAAACCACTTGAATAATTTTTTTGAGCGAGCATCACCATTGCTGAATGATTTCAAGTTCGTTGGATACACTCAAAATGAATTGTCCATGAGAATGTCAGTATTTCTTTATGATTCTTGAGAACTGTTACTGTTGATTATAATAAGTTATACTAATTGAACTGATCGATTGAATATTGGTTCCGTGGTTGTTTTGGAGCTGTGCTGTAGATGTTGTTAAAAATGGTTTTCGGGATTTGTCATTTTTTGCTGTTGTCTTCGGTACAGTGATTTTATTTCCAATCTCCCACTAAAATTCAAGCTATGTATTTCCCTCATGTTTTTGTTACGATAAATCAATCAAAAAGTAGTGATTGTGTTGATCTACTGAGGCTATGAAAGCCATGAAATGGCAATCTGTAGCTTTCACACTGGTCAGGCCACTCGGTCACCTTCGTCACGCTAATGCTGAAACGAAGTTGGGTGCCGGCAAACCACTCATAAGTGAATTTCCGACGCCCAATTCTAGAGGTTATTCGTAAGATGTGGTAAAGCTTCTCACTAGTTAGGGCAGCGTCACCCGACCGAGGATGGCTTCACAGGACTGTCCTTGTCGATGATCCAATTTCACAACAAGGAATCCTACTTACTACAGTGCGTTTCAAAAGTATAAAGCCACCCATGAAAACTAACTTTCCGAGTTAAGGTGAGTATTTCATGGCTTGCCATAAACTTTATTGAATTCAGCGTGTTTGGAAACCATTGTTCTCTTTATTTCAGGAACAAAATGATTCACATACATTTTTATAAGAAAATTTACAAATATCCCTGTTTCAAAAGTATAAAGCCACTTGCAACACAACTTGATTTTCCTCAAAAAAAAAGTGAGCATCGTGCATATTAATGACCAGTTGGCGCCGCACGCATTGCGCGCACAACACAGATCTGCGGCGAATTTTGATGGTGCGACGAAAATTTTCAAATTTGGCTTGATACACCACGAATATCTGAATTCTCAGCTAAATTCTATCCGCTCCATCATCGACGGCTTTCAACCTCTTTTTCTTCGTCAACCATTATCCTCTTTTTTTCCCGGTCTCCGGACTGCTTCCGGACAATAAATCTCGTGGCAAACTCCGCCTACTTCGGTGCGTGCCCCGCCCACCAATAGCATTTGGCCCCCTTCCTTTCGCCGACCTCTACCCCTTTTTTCACCGGTCTCTGGGACCTCTTGGAAGCAGCTGATCTCTTTTCCCTCGCCAACCTCTAACCCCGTTTTCCCTATCTCTAGGACTTCTTGGAGCCGAGTTATGAATTTTCGTCGCAAACTCCGCCCACTTTGGTCAAGCCCCGCCCACCGATGACAGCTGGGCTCCACTCCTCCACCCACCTCATCCACCTTTTTCCCGGCCTCCGGGACTTCTTGGAGCCGAGTTATGAATTTTCGTCGCAAACTCCGCCCACTTTGGTCAAGCCCCGCCCACCGATGACAGCTGGCCTCCACTCCTCCACCCACCTCTATCCACCTTTTTTCCGGCCTCCGGGACTTCTTGGAGCCGAGTTATGAATTTCCGTGTCGCAAACTCCGCCCACTTTGGTCAAGCCCCGCCCTGCTTTTTTGGAGAACGCCCCGCCCACCGGGGGTGGGTCTCCCTAATTCGATGTGACTTACCAATGCACACCTTTACCCACTTTTTGGCCCAGTTTCGAGGTGTTTTGTCACTGAATTGAAATCTTGGTCTTCAGTACAATTCATTTCGACGCACGCCACGCCCACTGTGGGCGGGGCTCCGCTTAGCTGATGTGTGTTTTGTACTTCGTGAGACCTTGCCCACCCATCCCACACTTGACCCGGTCCCTCCAGGCGGATCCCGAGGAGCTAGGGAATTTCGTGACATACAGAACGACAGACGACAGACGACAGACGACAGACGAAGCGCTTTATAGTAAGTAGGATCAGTGTAACATATTATTTAGAAATGAGATTAAATAGACAATTTGGCATACTATCCGTAAGCTTCCAAGTTTAGCAGGATCCAGGTGGTACCAAACGTCTCGATGGCATGTCTGAGGTCTTCCACGTTACTGTACTGCTTTCCATACTGCGTATATCTGTCGGACAATGATACCCCAGGTGTTTTTCTATTGGATTTGGATCTAGGCTGCAGGCAGGCCATTCCAGTACACTGATTTTGTTGACGTAAACCCGGTGTTGAGTGGACCGGCTGCGATGGATGGTGGCGTTATCGTGCATAAAGATGAAGTTTTGCCGACGATCTTCACTTACGAGGGAGGTCTTTCAGGTGTACCCGCGCTTTCTCAAAACGGTTTTTTGCATGATGTAGAGGGATGTGCGTGGATTACAGAACTGTAGTCCATTTCCGCTAAATGGCCCTCTGAATGCCAAAAAAGGAGTGAGAAATGGTCCTTGGTTCGATTCCTCCGCGGTGACAAATTTTTTGCATTGTGATTTGACGCAACAAAATTGGCACCAAATACGTCAACACTCAGTTCTTCAGGAAACTTCGTAACTCGGCTCCAGGTCGTGCCTGAGACTAGGAGAGAAGTGGGCGAAGAGAGGAAGTGAATTTCTGTACCTGTAGTCAACAGTAGGGTTGCCACTGCACTATCAGCAAAAATGACGCTGTTAAGGAGTTCATGAAGCGACCCTGTAAAAAATTTGCAGTCTCTGCTCTCTTCGCACTCCGTCATCATTGATTGAATCATGAAGAATCGTTCGGTCAAGCTTTAAGAGTTGTCATGGAAGTAGAGACCTCTATGACTGTGAACCTGACAAGGGGGGGGGGTCTTTCGTGACAAGCCGCGCTTTCTGTAAACGGTTTCTTGCATATTGTAGGGACGCATGTATGGACCACAAAACCATGTTTTTCGCTGAACGGTTTTAGTAGTATCAAAAAAGTGGTGAATGATACCCTTGATGGTTCGATCCCCCGCGGCGACTAAATTTTGCAATCAAGGTTGGCGGCCACTTGTTGGCTTCAAAATGGTCCTGACGATGAATTTGACATCTGATATTTAGCGCGATTTGGCACCAAACCGTAGGCGCCAACCCAAATGCAAAATTTAGTCGCCACGGGGGATCGAACCATAACAGTACCTTATGCTTCTTTTTGGTACTGCTTGAACCCTTTTGTGTTCCTTACTTGCGTCCCTACCATATGCAAGATACCGTTTTGAAAAGGCGCGGCTTGATCCAAAATACCCCCCTTGTAGGCCGATGTCATAGTTTGCGAATCGAGCGATTCGCTAGCGAATCGCTGGATCCGAGCGTTGCGCCAGCGAATCGAACGTTGCACCAGCGAATCGAACTTTGCGCCAGCGAGTCGAACGATGTACCAGCGAGTCGAACTAGGTACCAGCGACTCAATAGTGGCGGGACCCAACGTTCAAAGGAAGCCCGCCACTTTCAAACAGTGTCACGTGACAGTGGACGCTGTTTGAAAGTGGCGGGCTTCCTTTAAACGTTGGGTCCCGCCACTATTGAGTCGCTGGTACCTAGTTCGACTCGCTGGTACATCGTTCGACTCGCTGGTGCAAAGTTCGATTCGCTGGCGCAACGTTCGATTCGCTGCGCAACGCTCGATTCGCAAACTATGACATCGGCCTGAGACATCCCAGTTTTATTACTGTGTGCCTGAGACATCTCAGTGTGAGGTCGTAGAGCCGATTGACTCGTGAGAATTGGCTTCGATGAGGGAGTGCAGCTGTCCGATTTCGACCCTAATGGCCTTCTTGAAGACGAATTTTTTCCATGCCATGGTCTCCTGCAGGTTAGGTCTTTCTGGAAACTTGGCATGCCAGACGACCAAGGAGATGCGTCGCAATACAAATGTTCCTCTGGCTACGATCAGTTCGTGATTCACTAGAAATTCATAAATTGACGTGTGAAAAATATGACTTTTTTTGTCATTTTGAACGCAATTGAATTGGACACCAGTCCGATCCCGACCCGTGCCTTCAGGCCATTGTGTTCGTATCAATGTCTGATCGTGTACATAGCTGTGATGTAATGTTAATCACGTCTAACTCATGATTCGGTCGCATTCCTTAGTCATTGAGCCGGCATGTGGTTGGAATTGGTGCGGATTTTGTTCATCCTTTACTCGATCTCGCTATGTACTGCACTTTCTCTATCTGTTGTGACATGCTTCAAGAAAAAGGTAGGTTCGTTTGTATTTTATGGTGTTGTTAATGGAGAGCGAGTTGCGAGCACGGTTCCATCGCGCCGGTCGAGTCTCACATTGACTCTTGAGCCGCGACGTGACAGCACGCGGCTGCGCCTGTGCATATCGCCCCGCCTTTTATTGAGCAAACTAATGTGAGCAGCACTTCTATGATAATTATGTCGTGTTACAGCGTGTGGAGTCCAAGGAAAGATCTTGTGCGTCAATTTGAACCATTTTAATCACTCCAAAATCTTCTGAAGCCTTTTGAATTTTTTTCGTTCAGTTGCCAGTGGCACAAAGTCTGTCGTAAGTGAAGGATTCAAATCTGAACAACCTACTCAACCCGAAGAGGATCCGCCATTGCAACAAACAAAGAACCAATCTGATGACAGTAGAGATTTGAAAAGTGGTACGCAAGAAGGCCAGGTGATATCATATTTTCTTACTAGAGGTTCTTTAGATTTGTTGTTGTGTGCGTTTCGTAGTGATTTGCCCTATCCACCAGTTACTCAGAACTCACATAAGGACTAAACGACTTAACCAGCTAACTCTCGAGCCATTAAAAGAAGCGATCACGCTGGCTTCCTCGAAGATCTCCTGCTCTCGCGTTATCAACCGATAACGTCTGTAGATAATTGTTGGGCGGGCGTAAATCTATGGAAGATATCACCACTATCACTTCATTATATAAACCACAACTTTGTCGGTGTGTGTGTGTGTGTGTCGTTCTGTCCGTCCGGACCAACCGCTAACAAACCAGGGAGTACGAAGGGCAACACTTCGTGATGTTGATGTCATGATTATGATAGCACCCACAGCGGCTATGCAGGAGGGGATGCAGGGAGGGAGAACAACCGCTTCTATCTCATTTATTATCTACCAGATTAGTCCCCCGTCAACCGCCGGGACCTTCCTTTCCTGCGCAAGCTTTCTATCCTCCGCTATGGTCCCTTCCTCCTGTGACACCAACACCTCCTGGAAGTGACGCGTATGCAACACAATGGTGTTTCATACAGTAGAAGGGACACAATCATGATATGACGGTTTTTTTCCCTTCCCATCCTCCCTTCCTCTCTCCACTGCCCTCCAGCTGCCACTGCAGCACCATGTGGAATGAACGGAAGTGTGCTAAGCAGGTGTTTATATAGCCCTAAGAGTGTTATCACAACTATCCTGCTACAAAACATTGATATCTCAAATCCTGTAAGCTACCCGATTTGTTAGCGGTTTGTTTATCCCATGAGCTTCCTTCTCACTCACTTCATTTTGCGGACGGACACACACATACATACATACATACACACATACACACACACACACACACATACATACAAACCGACACACAAAGTTAGCGCTTTATATAATAGAAGGATTATATAAACGTGGAAGGAACACAGCGGAAGACGTGAAGCTTACGCAGGGAAGCAACGTCCCGGCGGTTGGCGGGGGACCAATCTGGTATAAACCAGAAGTTTGGTGGGTGTTAACTTAGTTGGGGGGGACCACGCGGCGGCGCGGCGCTCTGTTCGTCTGCTCCTCTAAGGCTTAGTCCAAGGGGCAGTTACTATTTCGTCGCCACGTGGCAGTTTCGAAATACGCGCCATCGGCGGACTAAGCCTTGGAGGAGCAGACGAACAGAGCGCCGCGCCGCCGCGTGGTCCCCCCAACTAAGGGTAAGTTAGCACCGTTTGGTGTGTCGGTTCGTTTGTTTGTATGTATGTACTCTGTCTGTCCGTCCGCAAAATGAAGTGAGTGATAAGGCAGCTCATGGATAAACAAGCCGCTAACAAATCTGGGTAGCTCGCAGGATTTGCCCTATCAATGTTTTGCAATGGCATGTTGTGATAACAGAACAGCGGCTATATAAACACCTACTTAGCACACTCTTGGTTATTCACATGGTGCTACAATGGCGGTAGAGCAGTGGAGAGAGGAGAGGAGGAAATGGAGAGGAGGTGGAGGAAATCTTTTTACAGTGGAAGGCGTCAAGATTATGCAGTGAAGGGAGGTCCCGGTGGCTGCCGGGGGACCAATCTAGTGATACCATAAGATAAGAATACACGGCTGTTTGGAATGAAAGATAACGATATCATATCTATCGCGCTGCCATCGCAACCCTTTCACATCGATACGGGTTTGTTCTTGTTTCTCGGAATTACAGTCGAGATCCGAAAGTTGGGGTAGGCGTGTCACCGGAAGTGACGTGCACTTGATAGAAGTTGCGTGGATAAGCTGTTGCCAGCATGCTTTGCTGATATCCAGCGATGTATGTTGGAAGCAGCTTATCCACATAGCTTCTATCAAGTGCACGTCACTTCCGGTGACACGCCTACCCCAACTTACGGATCTCGAGTATAGAATTCGGCGCCTTATTACGCGCTTAATGAGGGACCACTGCCACTGGAACACTACCTGTGGGTAGGACCGCTACCCAATTAAGTACGTAACTTTCCTTATCGTCTCCATAGAATTTATCGTGAGCACTTCCTTTAAAAGTGTTTTTTACCAGTCCGTCGCCAAATTGCTTCATGGGGGATGATAAAGGAAGTGTTAAGAAAAACCGATTGTTAGCAAAACAAATATCAGTAGCGCTTTATGACTTTACAAGGTAGATATTATATATATCTATCTATTATATATATATCGATCACTTTTTTTGGTACGATATTGTCGCGCGCGGAAAATGCTGAAAAACGCTGACGCATAATCTCTTTAGGGACAATAGCACCAATTGAATTTCATTTGGAACGCGGTTTGTAGTTGTGATATGGACGGTTCCCGAACAAGATTACACTCCGTCTCGGTTTTCATTTGGAGACGGAACTCTCAATACATACTAATTGGCGGCTATCGCAAGTTATGGACACGTCCTGGGGCTAAGCTTAGGAGTGGCAGGAATGTAAGGGAAATGAAAATTGCTCACGCATCCCTGAGTCTCCCATCCCGCTTGAAGCTTACCATCGTCCTGACTCTGATGAAGAAGGGACTGCGTATGCGGTTTTGAATACAGTGCCACGACAATGGCCCCCTGTGATTGCGCTCATAAAGATGGCCCCGTTCACCAAGTGAATTGTCTCGGTGTCTCCTTCGTAAATGCCAACGAGGTATGTGACAACAAGAGCGGAGACAAGAAGAGGCGAAGAGATAAGATAGGGATTAACGGACAACAACGCAGAGCCGGGCTCAGCACCCCAGGGCTGCTAATTCCTCCTCGACCTCCACCTCCGCCGCCTGTGTTCCGCCCATCAGTCTGTTGCTAGCAGCATGATTGCTCTTAACTTATGAGGTATGCCACTTCGGTGCATATCCTGCGACTTTCCCATGGAATCGACTTTCCCATGCGCTATCAATCAAAGCATGATCTTTGCTGAAATGATAGCGGCTATCGGTTAAATGTGCAAACGACCTCTAATTGGTTGCTAGCTCGTCCATTATCGGAGGTCAACGGGCAAAGAAAGGGTCCCATTTTGCGCTTCTTGACGGATTTCTTTGCTTTTTTCGCCACTGGGCATTATTCAGCATCTCCACTTCCACTATGAACCCAAACCAATCTTATCGTAATCCCTCGCTTTAAATGGCATGCGGTATCAAAGCTTTGGAGTATGGTTCCATGCTCGTTGGTCGATGAATTGTCCCTGCCCAGCCGAAGACGTCTCCTATCGTTCATCTGAGGTAACTTCAAGAGGCAGAGTAAGCGACCAGAGAGCCCATCAAATTGTTGGAGAGCGGAGGGTCCTATTTGGTTGAGAGCCACGCCAGTCAGGAGGTCGCTGAGAGTGGCGCACTATTTCTGTCAGGAGCGTTCGTTTATGAAATCTTGTCTTTGGGGGATCAAAATATCTACCCAGCTAAGCTGCGGTTGATTTACATTACTTCAA